TTTCTCCTCGCTTACGTGCAAAAGACAAACACGATACGTTTCGATGTCAATGAGTTAGGAACGGAACACATCTAACACGTCGCTGAAGGTCATAATTTAAATACAGACAAGCGCACAAACGTATCGGCCGATTTGAATTGTGCTCGTTCGAACATCCTACTCTCCTCCTCCTCTTTATTGGTGGTTGGTGGCGAGAAGACTTCACTTGGTGGCGAGTACGTTGGTGGCGAGATCGTTCCTTGGTGGCGAGTTCGCTGGTGGCGAGTCTCCCTGGTGGCGAGGTAACCGGTAACCTCCAAGCCATATATATATATATATATATATATATGTATATACATATATATGTATATATATACATACCAGTGTTTCCGAAACCTTTGTCAGCTTTAAAGCAAGAGAACTTCGCTCTCAATCCTGTTTCAAACTCCGCAATAAGTTAATACGCCTCATCAACAGAATTAACGTATCCTAAATTATCCGCATGTCTACCATCAAGCAAACGTTCGCGCTTTAAAATTCCCGCCATGCTGTTTCTGTTTCCTCCTCAAGAATCATGGGATTTACAGCTTCGGATGTTCGGTTACATCACTTGCGAATTTCCGAGAATATTGGGTTATGTTTTGCAAGTCATTAAATATTCCATCTCAGTCCCTCTCGACCGAGGTGGTTTTGGTGAATGGAATCTAATGCTGACCTTGTTTGTAATGGTCCGGAAGTAGAGATCGGAAAATCGGGGTTTCGTTCAATCCACGAGCTAGAAAAGGTTTGACAGTGGATTTTATTAGACCAATACCTCTTGAGTAAGGCTCGCTACGTCGTAAAGTCGAAAAGTGGTATGCGATCCGAGAGAAAGGAGGGGTTTTTGTTACGTCATCCCTTCGTCGGCGTGAAAAGAGGTTGTAGAGTGCATGACATTTGTTTGCTAATTTTTTTTTCTACACCCTTATCAACATTAGCGGTCCAAATACCCAGTTAGTTCAAAATACTTCCTTCGTAGTTTAATTTTACCATATAACAACTTTTGAAATGACTCTTCTTTCCAAATTTTACTGAGATGAAAGATCTTAAAATTACCCAATTAACGATCGTTAAAAAACATAATCGGTTATTTCCGTCAAACTGTAAGAAGATCCCATAAATAGAGATCCTCATTGGTGACAGCGAAAAAAATATAAAAGGCATTCCTGCCTTTTCATCTAACCCGGCTAAACATAATTCAGTTCAGCTAATTCAGTTAAAAGGAGACATTTTGGAACTCTGCTAAACGCAGCCCCTCCCTCTGCGCGTTTCCTGATGAGTGGCAGGGTATTCTGCAGCTTAGTCGATAGAGGTAACTGATATATGTGTTATTGGTCAAGCTTGTGCGGTCGAGATGGCTGGATATTAGCCGAGTTCTTTTTTGCGTTTTAATGGAAAAACAAACAAAAGAACGAGGCCAATATTTAGACATCTTGACCAAGCAGGCTTGGTCAAAAAAGGATATCTTATATAAAAAACATATTACGTTTTAGTAAGAATCAAGAATGACTTCTTTACTTCGAGAGTCACGGGAAAGGAACCAAATCTTTTTGTAGCACATGAAACCCACGAGAGTAGCTTATGTTTTCTTTGTTTTGACTGTCTTCTGTCGCTTTTTGCGACTCCATTACCGAAATTGTCCTAAAATTACAAAGCCCATCTTGCCTACTGTCTGACTTAGTTGACAAAGCTAACGAGAGAATCAGAACTGATGAAAGGTCAGTAAACTCACTTAATTTAGAATGTGACTACAAAGACAAGCTGTTTCTTTGAGGGACTCTCGTTAATTTGTCCAGGTTACTTTGAAGTCTTTTCTTTATCCACATCAACCTGCTATAAATGTTGAAAATTATGAACATTATTATGAACATTATTCAGCAGAAGGGTAATGAGAATATTCAAACTTATCAGGTAGAAGCTGCTATCTTGATCCAGCACCAAGTTCTCATAACTAATTTACAAGGGAATGTGTAGCAGCTACGGGGGAGAATTAACAATCAGATCTTGGGAGTTAAAGTGTTAAGGGTGGCAAAGACAAACACAGCTGAAAATGATGACCTTCAACATTGTAGGCTAGCCTTCCTTTATGTTGAGTAAGTCTTTCTGAATATTTTAGTTATTGATGTCCAAACACAAAGGATGTTACCTTAATATTTAACTTGGCCTTTTACAGATCTTATAGTGCACTATAAAACAAACATTTGGAGTGTGTTTGTTTTATTAGCACTACCTTGAATGGCAAATCATGCCAGCCATGGTCAACAATGTAGTCAAATATTATTTGAGACGAAAAAAAATCCTGTTGTGTGATTGATATATTTGTCCATGATACTGCACCATAGGCCAATGTTTCTTTGCGCAGGATGCTTGATTCCAGTATCACAGTTAATCTCCAAATGGAACCAGCTTATTTTCAGGCCTATTAAGTTATTAAAACATTTTCCCTGAGTTGGTAAAAAAAACAACAGTGACAGTTGTTAGGGGGAAAGCCTGACCCACAAGTTTAGGTACGCCTACTTTTTTGCAGTTCTATTGTATACTCCTTACTTATTACTATCCATCACAGAAGATAAAATTGTCCACAAATGCATGAAGAAAGTAATACATTAAATCAGGACAAAAAAAAGCACAACTAGAACTTAATCAAAATCACACATGTGCAACATTTATTTCAAAATTTGGTTATGCATTTTAACACATCTAACCCTTTAACTCCCAGACCAAATTTGTAATTCTCCATACTGTCAACCATACAGTTCTTAAAAAGTTAATTCAGAGAATTTATTATTGGATCAACTAATTATCCCCAAATTGATATATTTCTTTATTCTCATCGCTTATCTGGTTGATATGGTATTGATACTGTAAGGAGAAATTCTGTCTTGGTCACTCATAGGAGTTAAAGGGTTAAACTTCACTAAGAGGGGAGAAAGGGGGTAAATAGGGGTACGCAACCCCAAAATTCTGTCATATTTTTTACCTAACCTGTTTAATAAATTGTTAGTAAAAATGAAAGTCAGATCTCTGAAACTTCCAGAAGTGTGCAATGTGCTTGTGTCTTTTTTTTTTCTTCTACAGTGATAGGATTTTATCTCAAGTTTTCTTTCTATTTTGGTATTTGAAAAAGTAGCCTTATGGCTAATTACAAACCGAACTACAGTAAAAACTCGTGTATAAGCCGCACCTTTTTGCCGAAATTTTGAGTCAAAAATTGCGGGTGCAGCTTATACACGAGACCATTGCTCTCAGTATTATGCTGATCACTTCGAACGACAACTTGCAGAAATTGACCCTGAATGCTTTGAGAACATTTTTGGTGAAAGCGATGGCGAGGACTTTTATGGTTTTTTGCTTTTCTCGTGAAAATGATACCGAACCGTGTTGTACAAGATTTCGCTTTGAACGAAGATTGATGAGCCGTACTTTCAAACATTGTACAATGTAAATAGTTAAAATGTCATATTTTAAAATGTCACTGCAAATACACAACATTAAATTTCCTCAAGTTTATTTGTGAACATTTTGATGCGCGAACAAACGATCACCTTTTTTACAAAAGTGCATTTTTGGTTTTTTCTTTTTTTTCAAAATCATGCTTGAAAGTTGGGGGTGCGGCTTATACACGAGTTTTTACGGTATATACTAATCAGACTACTAATAATACTAACAAAGTAACTTGTTTACTTAATTGTAACATTGATTACCTGGTAAGTGAATGATAATCACAGTCTTACAGTATCACACAGAGCTCAAATAGGTGCTGCTAAAGGCAAAGTGAAGATTCTTCTTGAAAGATGTTCTGGTAGTAACAGGAGAATAAACTTCATAAGCAAAAGAAAAAATAGCTCAGAAAATTGAAATTTGACTTGAAAATTCTGCACATCCATAGTAACTAGATAATTCTCTATTGTGCAATGACTGATAAACATGCTGACAAAGACAGAAAAAATCTTAGGATTTGAGTAAAAATTGTTTTAATACATTATCACAGGAATAAACAGGAATGACAGGCCACATTTACTGAACTGGTTTTGTAAATTGTCTCTGCTAAAACCATACTTCTTCAATTTTCTATCATTCCTTTCCACAAATCCATTGCATGAAATGAAATTATGAAAGGGTTTCCCTACAAATTAAGTGAACAAGCTTGTATTAGCTAGTTGATTATGTTCAACTTGATACCCAACCATTAGCTATCTCAAGCAAAGTTTTGGTATTCTACAATTTGCAAATCAAACAAATTTTTTGTAACGACACATGAATTTTTATAGAAAGTTCTAACTACAATTTGCAATAAAATGCATTAAATTTTGGCCAAAACTTTCACTATTTGAAAATAAAATAATTTCAATCTATAAAGAAATAGGCTAAACAGCCTATAATAAAACATGAAACAATAACAAACTTGTAATGCATCGAGAGGCAAAGTCAAAACCAACCAACCTAGCCAAGAGTTAAATCAGGAAATAAAATCAATGTCATTCCAAGGTTCTGCAAATCCTTCCCAACCCTCCCTCCAAAGAGGAAACCCTAATACGCAATATTGACATGTAAAATGTTTCAAATACATGTGACTGTTCGTTTACATACTAAGAAGGAAACTAAATGTTCTGTCATTAAAGTCATCACAATCAAAACTAACACTTCATATAATCTTTCAAAAATCTACATAAAAGCTAGGTACACTTTGGAAATTTAATGTCAAAAAGGAAATATGGAAATAAACTACTTCTTAAGAATGAATTCAGCCAAAAAAAGACAACCGAACAATTTAGAAAAACAAGAAACCATCAAAACCAGCAGTTCAAAGAGAGGCTTTTGGATGACAGGATTACACAAGTGACTTTTTACTTTTCATGACTTGTAACAATATGAAATTAAGACCATGTGAACTGTGAATTTTTTCTTTTAGAGAAACGTGAATCTTAAAGTTGTTTAACAAATTTTTCTACTTTTTGGACCTCCCCTTTACCGCCCTCTTCAAAAAATGAATACCTTACCATCTGCAACACGAGCAATGCGTCCCTTGGTTGTCAACGTAATCTTTCTCACATTACGGAACCAACCATCAATTGCGATTTCTGCACAGTACACAAACTCACCATCTTTACTGTATATTTCAACCTATAGGAGGTTTCTTGCTAGAATACCGGCGGCGACGACTTGTTCACCTGCTCGGTGAAATGTAATGCTTGTGTAATCACAGTCACGTTGTTGCAGTTTGAACTTGTCAAGATAGTCGCCGGATTCACTGAATATGTGAACATAGTAGTCACCTAGTACCATAACAAGGCCGTCATTAGCAACAATAATATCCCGCGCTGAACTTATTATTCCTTGTCCAAAACTGCGAACAAACTCTCCATCAGTGTCATATTCCTCCACTGTATTCGCTCCCCGCAAGGTCACCACTTTCCCTTTATCACTGACTGACAGTCCTCTATACTTGGCTTCTCCCCTCAGACGAAACGCGTGATGCAGGTCAGCGGTTTTAGTAAGTTTACAAACCGAAAAAGATGGCTGACTCTTAGGCTTCACTAGTTTGATCAGCACGAAGATGTTGTCACTCATGTCTGTGGCGACTTCAAAAGCAAATGTTCGATTTGCTTCATCGGTAGAGAGACTCGATTGTTTCACAAACTTTCCGCTGTTGTCAAACACCTTCACGTGTCGCAATTCTATTACAATAAATTCTCTGCTGGAGTTTGTAGCGATACCCCACGGTTCCTTCAGGATGTGTTCCTCTTTACCCTCTTGACCAAATGACCTTGGTGGAACACAGCAATACTCTTTACCATGTTCGAGTAACACGTCTTTTACTCTCGCGTCACACAATGGAAAAACTTTATTTTCTCTAACATAAACACTCGGGCAGAAGTCAAGTCTCCCCGATGCGAGCGCGATATCAAAGATCACGCGATTCACATGACAAACATTGAAAATTATTTCACTTCTTTCCTCTTTACCAAATAAACCCCTCACTTTCTGAATGCCTGTCTTGAGCTGAACGTCAAAGCTATTCTGTACTGCTGACAGACTGTTAAGTTCCTTTACACACACTCCACATGGTGCCACTGCATCAGCGGGATTGTCTACTGTTTCCAATATCGTTGCCATTACTCGATACTTCATGGCCAGAATGCGGTCATATGTTTTGAGGCCTTCGTTTTTAAAGGCCCTCGTTGCTTCCCTTCGAGCATCTTTGAATCTTTCCTTTGCAGTGGAAAGCTTTCTTGTAGCATACTCGTCCAAGCCAGTAAGCTCTAACTTTCTGATTCCGTCAACGAGAGAAAATGCTTCATCGCAAGCTGCTTGTGCTGTTGCCGCACCACGCTCGTTTCTAGACTTGACTATGTCAAACACTTCATACAACAACACGATTCCTTCCTCAAAGAAACTGATACTCGCTTCTAAATCTTTTCTCGATAACGCATCCAACTTTGACTTGATGTCGTCTATTTCACGGACGATCAGGGAGTGGAATCTTTGATCTGTTACATCGCCGTCTTTCAGAATCTCTGCTGCCTTATCTCTACCTTTGTTGACTAGCAAACCGATAGTGACTTTGAACAAGGCTGTTGCCATGGAGGATATTGCGGATAAGCGAAGCACAGGTAGCACCCGGAAACTATTTTTACGGTAATAGCACAGAAGACAACCCTACGGGTTTGAGGCCGCGTGACGTCATTTATTTGATACGCTTGTTGAACTCTTACTTTGTTTGTAATAGTCAGGTAGCAGAGACCGGAAAATCGGGGTTTCGTTCAACCCACGAGCTAGAAAAGGTTTGACAGTGGATTTTATCAGAACAATACCTCCTGAGTAAGGCTCGTTACGCCGTAAAGTCGAAAAGTGGTATACGATCCGAGAGAAAGGAGGGGTTTTTGCTACGTCATCCCTTCGTCGGCGTGAAAACGAGGTTGTAGAGTACACGACATTTGTTTCCTCATTTTTTTTTTTTGCACCCTTATCAACATTAGCGGTCCAAATACCCAGTTAGCTCAAAATACTTTGCTCGTAGTTTAATTTCACCATATAACAATGTCACGTGACTTATCACGTGACAAGAAAAATCTTAGAGAAACCCTGAACTGAACTCCGTTGAGGAGCCATCTGTTAGGGGGCAGCTAGAAGCCAACCACGCTAATTTCTGGTGACTCTAGATAAAGCAATGCGTTGAATGCACTCCATCCATGAACTGACTGACTTGCGATTACTTCCCGAGATAGTGATTCTATTAGACCTGAGGGATGCATTCTCATGACTTTTCATACTTCATCAGCGCAACGTGCTGACTCAAACAGCTCATTTTCTTCTTTAATTCCACCACTGTTGTTTAACCTAACGAGTACAAAAAGTGACTTGAGGTCATCTCCCAAATGCAGAGCACTCTTTTAGCTCGTAAATCTTTCCCCCTGCTTGTAAGGATAGTTTCTCCGTCATTGTGGTTTGCCAGTTAGACCGGGGGTGGTTCTAGTCCATATATTTGGCCGTCTTTGAAATACAACCATGAATGTAACATGAGTTGTATTTTTTCCATCGAGGGTTTCTTCGTTGACATTTTTGTTGTCTGCCGCTAGTAAAAGAAACGGACCAGGGCCCAGTTGTACTAGTAAAGGTCGGATAACGCTATCCAACGGATAAATTGCTACCCGGTGGATAAGTGTATGCACCGTAGAGAGTTTTATCCAGTGGATAGCGTTATCCAACTTTCGAGCAACCGGGGCCAGGTGCTCTACTTTCGGTACAACAGTGCCATACTCATCCGCTTCAGCGAGTACTTCCGCTGCGATACTAGTGTCTGTCGCACGCAGTTCGTCACAACTGTAACTAGCCGCAAGATTATAAACAACAAGACACAAGAAGCTTCTCTCAGACCTCAATGCATATGTATTGGGCGCTCGTGTTCTTCTGCCCTCGCTGGGTCGTTGCACACACGTGTCCTTTTCGTAAGGTCACCTGATGTAACACAATCCCTACTTTAATCCTATTGTTACATCTTTTCCCCTTTAGAGAGTTTCTACCTCGTAGCTCCTGACCCCGACCTTGGCCTTGACTTTTGCCTTCTGCAGGTCTTCTTGTTTGAGGCTGTCAGGGCAGAAATTCACTCTGACAACGTCTCCTGAGATCAACGCGGGGAGATCATGAGCTGCTTTGTTGCAGTATTTCGCTTGGCGTTGCTTGTTGGCCAGAATCTTCAGGAACCAGCAGATGTTTTGTTGTTGGCAGGAGGGTTTTCGTTCGGCGGCTCATCAGTCGCTGGGCTGGATTGGTATCTAAGCCTTGTGTTGGCGTATTGCTGTAGTCGAGGAGAGCAAGGTAAGCATCGGAAGAATTCTTCTTCACTTTTTCCATTAGTTGTTTGGCTGCTCCGACAGCATTTTCAACTTTTCCATTAATTTTGGGGTATCTCGGTGAAGTCGTGACTACCTCAAATTTCCATTGCTTGCTGAACTTCTTGTACTCATGAGCTGTAAATTGTGGGCCATTGTCTGAAACACAGACATCGGGAATACCATGTCGGGCAAACTGCATCTTCATCTTTCTGATTATGTGACTGGCTGTAGTGTTTTCTAGAGGGTCGATCTCCCAGAACCCAGAGAAGTAGTCCACGATTATCAGGTAGTTGGTCTGGTTGAACGTGAACAAATCAACCCCCACTTTGGCCCACGGACGGTCAGGGACATCAAGGGAAATAAGAGTTTCCTTTTGCTGCTTGTTGTCAACAGAACGGCAAATGTCGCACTTCAGAATAAAGTCCTTCACCTCACTGGACATGGCGGGCCAGTACACGCACTCTCTTGCCCGTCGTAGACACCCCTCCACACCCATGTGGGACATATGGATCCGCCTTCAACATAGACCAGAATATCGTCATGTATCGACAACACTCCAAGAAGACCTTCGATCACCTGGTGTTGGCGTCTTTGGAATTCCTCTGGAGCAGAGGAGAGGCCAAAGGGTAACCGTAGCCAACGATACCTTCCAAAGGGCATATTGAATGTGGTGAGTTTCGAACTCTCTTCATCGAGTTCGATGTGCCAGAAACCGTTCTTGACATCAAATGTGCTGAAGACTTTGGCACGGCTGAGGTCTGGCAGGATATCTTCAATGGTGGGTAATGGGTAATGACTGCGTTTCAGGACTTTGTTTAGGTCCTTCGGATCTATGCAAATACGCAAGGTACCATTAGGCTTCTTTACTACAACTATGCTAGAAACCCAGGGAGTAGGTTCTGTGACAGGTACTAGGATTCCGAGCTTGTGCAATCGTTCCAATTCTTCTTTGAGCTGAGGCTTAATGGCTATGGAAACTTTTCTTGGAAGATGAACATCAGGGATAGCATCTGCTTCAATTTCCAGGTGGTACGAGCCATGAAGCTTACCTGTACCATTGAAGACATCCGGAAACTTTGCAATAAGCGATTCTTTGGTAAGTGGCTTGTCCTCTGAGCTAAGATCTAAGGACAGAATGTTTTCAAAACGTACTTGAATGAGGTCCATTTCTTGTGTGGTTTCGCTCCCAAGAAGGGGAGTGCAATCTTGCCTTAGGACTGTGAATTCCACTTGATACACATTCCCATTTTTGGTCTTGCAGAGTTCCAGCTGACAAAGTCCCAATGGTTGCATCGTGGTGCGGTTGTACATGGAAAGCCTTTTGGTTGTCTTCTTTAGTTCAACTTCACCCAAGCAATTTTCGAGGGTTTTCGCCGAGATGACGTTGCATGAGGCTCCACTATCGAGCTGAAAGCGTACTGGCGTCTTGCCCACATTTATCGTTGCGAAAAGGCGCTTCGGAAATTTACGTGCTGCCACGGCGTTAATCTCGTCAACGGGGTTCAACTCTACTGTTTTGATTTCATCATAGTCGTCATCGCTTTCCACAGTGTGGACTGGTTTTGGCCTCCTAGACATGCAAACGGAGGCGAAATAATTTTACTTGTGGCACTTTTGACATTCTACACCATATGCTGGGCAATTTCCTCGCCGATGTTGTCGTCCACAGAATTTGCATTTTCGGATTAATTTCCGGTTCTCATCTTTGTCATCTCTGCCGCCCTGATCTCTTTTGTCTTTTTTCTCTTCTCTTTTGTTTCCGCTAGTGAGATGGTGGACTATTTCTGACGTTGCCTCAATTGCTCTGTTCCTTTCTTTCGATAATTCGGAGGCTCGACAGGCATTGACGCACTTATCAAGATCCAAGTCGGCAACTTTCAAAAGATCCTCTCTAGGCTTTGAGTCACGAATTCCACAGATAATTCGGTCACGGACCAGTGACTCCCACAGGGTGGTAAAATTACAGGTTGAGGCTAAGATCTTCAGGTCAACTATGAATTTTTCTAGCGGCTCTCCTTCTTCTCACACCCTAGTGAAAAACTTATAACGCTCTACTGTTTCGTTTTTCTTGGGGTTGCAGTGTGTTTCAAAGGCATCGATCACATCCTTGAGCGAACGTTCGGTTGGGCCGCGGGAGAATGGCAGTGTGTAGTATATCTCTCGTCCCTGGTTGCCGATAGTATAAAGAAAGAGTTTTACCTTCGTCTTTTCTTCTCTCCCATCCATTGCCAAGTCCATGTACAGGGTGATTTCTTCTTTCCATCTTTTCCAGTCATGTGGGAGCTCACTGGGATTTCCGAAATCCAAATTGCTGAGCGGTTTGAGCTGAGAGATCGATCGTTCCGCGGCAGCGCTTGTGCTGGGCGTTCCAAGTGTTTCATCTGGCATTTTGCTCGACCAATCCCACTCCTGACACCATGTAACGAGCCGCAAGATTATAAACATCAAGACACAAGAAGCTTCTCTCAGAACTCAATGCATATGTGTTGGGAGCTCGTGTTCTTCTGCCCTCGCTGGGTTGTTACACACACGTGTCCTTTTCGTAAAGTCACCTGATGTAACACAATCCCTACTTTAATCCTATTGTTACAACAACTGCAACAGTGTCCCATTTTGTTAAGGAGTGTTATAAGGAGACGCGATGAGATGAGATAGTGCACACTTAGTGCAAGGCCTATGTGCTTTGGAAGCTTTACACTACTATTGCTTAAGCAATAAATAATGTCCCGCGCAATACTAATGATTTGATGTTAGTTCTTCAAGGACTCACTGTAGTGACAGTCTGAAAACTTAAAAACTAGCATTTTAAACTAGAGGCAGAGGATAAAAAGCTTAGAGCATTAGCCTCGTTTGCATGTTTTGTCATTTAATCGACCAAGCATTGATCTTCGATCATTAAACAACGAACAAAATACCTGTAAATGGTAAAGTAAACGTTTTGGACAACCAAATGATAAAAAGATTTGACAAGAGAGGCCAAGAATCAAATTTAATGCTTGTTTATCAAAGACAAAGATTTTTTTTATATTTTCAAGGGCTTCTTTACCGGGATTTTTCTTGTCACATGATAAGTCACATGACGTCGCTTTATAGTAAAATTAAAACCAATGAAGCAAGTATTTTGAACTACTTGGGTATTTGGACGGCCAATGTTGATAAGGGTGTTAAAAAAGGAGTAAACAAATGTCATGCACTTTACAACCTCATTTTCACGCCGACGAAGAGGTAACGTAGCGAAACCCCACTTTCTCTCGGATCATATACCACTTTTCGACTTTACGACGTAACGAGCCTTGCTCAGGAGGTATTGGTCTAATCAAATCCACTGTCAAATCTCTTCTAGCTCGTGGATCTAACGTAACCCCAATTTTCCGGTCTCTGTTTCCGGACTTCACAATAGCCAAGTTACGTTTTGAACTCAATTGATTACACTAGATTACCTTATTATACTATCCCACCGACGCAACACTACAGTTTCTTCGGAAACTTACCCCCTTTATTCATTTGGCAGACCACAGACTTTTTGAATGCTCACTGGACTGTAAGAGAAATTCAAATACCTTTATTGCCCGTAGCTTGGAATTTGAAATGACTCTTCTTTCCAAAGTTTACCACGATCAAAAGATCTTAAAATTACCCATTAAAAAGTAGTCGGTTATTCCCGTTAAACTGTTAGAAGTTCCCTTAAACAGAGATATTCATTGGTGACAGCGGAAAAATTATCAAAGGCATTCATACAAGTGCAAACACAATTGAAACTCACTGTGGTTGAGAAAAACTACCTTTTCAACAAACTCGGCTAAATACAATTCAGTTCAGCTAATTCAGGAAAAAGAGACATTTTGGAACTCTGCTAAACACTTATGGAGATACTATTTGTCGACTCTACCACTCAAGAGGGACTGAAGAGTATATTCCTTCATCCTCTGCCTTACATCAGAACTTCCCTTCTGTTACTCTTCACCGGGGGATTCCCCGTGCTTCGACAGATGACGTACAGCAATAACATATGTTACGGAGGCCGCGAAACTCGTCCTAATGAGATCGGAATCACGTGTCCCAAAGAAAAAAGAAACATCGCCACCAACTCTCAACTTCGATGAAGTCAAATCCGGCGAGATTTCCGCACCGCCCCATAATTCATTATGCTTACAGTATTGGATGAAAGAAGGCAATGGCGTAACAATAGCTCATAGATTACCTCTGTGACTACGGCTTTTATGTAGAATAGTATGGGGGTATACGGAAATCTTACCAAAGAAACTACAGAAAAGATGCCCCATGTATTCCATTGACATTTCTCGTTGATAGATGTTACTGATATATGCGTCATTGGCCAAGCTTGTTCAGTCGAGATGGCTGGATATTAGCCGAGTACTCTTTTACGTATCAACGAGAAAAAAACAAACAAACAAACAAACAAGGGAACGAGGTCAATATCTAGACATCTTGACCGAACAAGCTTGATCAAAAAAGGATTTCTTATGTAGCAAAAAGATTACGCTTTACTGAGTAAGAGTCAAGAATTACTTCTTAAACTCGAGAGCCACGGGAAAGAAATCAAATATTTTTGTAGCACATGAAACTCATGAGAGTAGTTTATGTTTTCTTTGTTTTGACTGTATTCTGCCGCTTTTTGCGACTGCGTCACCGACATTGTCCAAAAATTACAAACTTGTTAGGCCTGCACCACGAAATTTTCTCCAAAGCCCATCTTGCCTACTCTCTGACTTAGTTGACAAAGCTAACGAGAGAATCAGACTCAGTAAGGTCAATAAACTCACTTAATTTGGAATGTGACCTCAAAGACAAGCTGTTTCTCTGAGGGACTCCACATTAATTTATACAGGTTACTTTGAAGTGTTTTCTTTATCCATAACAACCTGCTATAACTGTTGAAAATGTAGGTCGAGCCTCACTTGCATAGACAATGAGATTTTTTTTTCACGATGTGGCCAATGGATGCTTGTACTACTTGTACTCCCCTTCCAAATTCCCGCTCACCAGGGAAAAAGTTGTGTTCAAAATGCCCCATCCAATGTCTTTGTAGAAGGCAAAATCAGGGACCATGACTTTGCACATTCACCAAGCTTCAAAACCTGGACCTTGCAGTCCTTTTGTTGAGCCATTTTCTCATGAAAGTGAACTATTTAGTACCTTAAATACCTCCATATTTAAAGATATAACTCTTGTATCTGGAGTTCCACTAGAAAGACTTGACACTTCTGGTTCAAGTTCCCCACCCTCGGGGTACAAAAGACAGTGAAATGTCCATGGAAGTTGAAGCTTTCAAAAGGATTTGCGCATTACTAGACAGTTAAGCATTATGATAATTTTTTGTTTTTCCATTTCATAGAGTAAGAGCATAGAAAAATTGTTTGCTATACTAGAAAAACATTATGGAAGAGGAAAATATAGCAATATAGCCAAAAATTTTAACCCTCAACAGTATCAATCTGATTTTTCTCAACAGAATCATGATGAAATTAAACAGTGAGGTCATAAGAGTATAGGAAATGATATCTAATTAATGAAGCTGTTGACCATTGTGCATATTCTCCTTGTCAGTACCATCAGGAATGTATAGACTACAGTGAGGAGAATATGCATATTGTCTTTAGGTAGACTATGGGCTGCCCTTCTGTTTGGCAATGTACACTGCATAAGTAAAAAAATAATGAAAAAAAATTGATGCCAGCATGCTGCAGGGAGTTGTGGGAGTGAGGTGCTGGAAAGTGTGAAAAGTTAATTTTTTAACTCCCAGAAGTGATTAACATGAAACTTCTCCCTTTAATATCCCTACATTATTCAGCAGACAAGTAATGAGAATATTCAAACTTATCAGGTAGAAGCTGCTCTCTTGATCCAACACCAAGTTCTCAAAAACTAATTTACAAGGAAATGTGTAGCAGCTAGAGGGGAGAATTAACAATCAGATCTTGGGAGTTAGAGGGTTAAGGGTGGCAAAGATAAACACAGCTGAAAATGTTGACCTTCAACATTGACGGCTAAGCTTTCCTTTATGTTAAGTAAGTCTCCAAACACAAAGGATGTTACCTTAATATTTAACTTGGCCTTTTGCAGATCTTATAGTGCACTATAAAACAAAAGTTTGGAGTGTGTTTGTTTTATTAGCACTTCCAATGGCAAATCATACCGCGGTCATGGTCAAAAATGTAGTCAAATATTATTTGAGAGACAAAAAAAATCCTGTTATGTGATTGATATATTTGTCCACGATAAAGCACCATAGGCCAATGTTCCTTCGAGCAGGGCACTTGATGCCAGTATAATAGTTAATCTCCAAATGGAACCAGTGTATTTTCAGGCCAATTAGGTTGTTAAAAACATTTTCACTGAGTTGCTAAAAATAACAACAGAGACAGTTGTTAGGGGTAAGCCTGACCCACAAGTTTAGGTACACCTACTTTTTGTGAGGTTCTATTGTCCTTACTTATTACTATCTATCACTGAAGATAAAATTGCCCACAAATGCATGAATAAAAGTAAAACATAAAATCAGGACAAAAAAAAAAGCACAACCAGAACTTAATCAAAATCACACATGTGCAATATTTATTTCAAAATTTGGTTTTACATTTTAACACTTTAATACAAAACATACTTAACCCTTTATCTCCCCAGACCAAATTTGTAATTCTCCTTACTGTCAAACATATAGTTCTTACAATGTTAATTCTGAGAATTTAGTATTGGATCAACTACCATTATTCCCAAATTGATGTATTTCTTTATTCTCGTCACTTATCTGGTTGATATTGTATTGATACTGTAAGGAGAAATTCTGTCTTGATCACTCATGGGAGTTAAAGGGTTAAACTTCACTAAGAGGAGGGAAAGGGGTAGATAGGTATATGCAACCCCAAAATTCTGCCATATTTCTTACCTAACCTGTTTATCTAATTTTTAAGTAAAAATGTACGTCAGATCTGTGAAACTTCCAGAAGTGTGCAATGTAGTTGTGTCTCTTTCTTTTCTTCTATAGTGATGAAATTTCATCTTAAGTTTTCTTTCTATTTTGGTATTTGAAAAAGTAGCCTCATGGCTAATTACTGAACTACCCTGCTGTCAGGGTCTATAATTTGAAAATGTTTTTTACAAGTTTGTCTGTACACCGAAAACTGAAAAAATTAAGTCAACAAAATTAGATCAATGAACAGACTTCAGTAAACTGGAGACCAACAATGTATCATTTATCAATCCACACTAAAAAAACAAATTGAATCTGGAATCCATGCTGACAAACAGGTGATTCATGATCAACCGTTATCTTTAAAATCTGTTGGAATGACCATCAATACAGTGTTCTGAAAAAATCTGCAGCACATGAGTTCTTACACCCAAATATTTGCAAACCTATCCACCCCCTCTACATTATAGTCTGTATTGTTCTACTGAATAATAAAAGTAAAATAAATTATTCATGACTCCTTTTGATAATTTACGTTACTGACTTATCTCCTATCTACACTCCACATTATCAAATGCATCGAGTCTAGAATTCAAGTCAAGTGTTTCAAATCTACAAAATATTGCATAAAATTGGCAGTGAGTGAGTTATTAAACCTAAATCCAAATATCTGCAAACCAATTCACCCCCTCTAAATTACTTTACAGTTTTAAAGCATTGTTAGTAATAAAAATAGTGACTCAGTCAATAATTCTCCTAATTAGACCTGCTGAATCAGCTTAGAGCTGTTGATACAAATAACACATTAGGAAAATTGTAATGCACAACAATACAATCGCTATATACTGTATACAAAAATAATGTTTTGTAAGGAATACTAAAGACATCATGATAAACAAATCCAATCTTTAGGAATTTCAATTTAACTAAACCACAATGGGTATTAAGTTGCCACAATGTAGGTTTAATACGCTCTATTAATCAATTGAAAGTAATATTGCCTGCAAATGAAATTGTTTAATAATTGAAGTGAGCATATTAAGGTGCGCTGAAAATCCAAAACATTTCTGTTAACCCTTTCACTCCCAAAGAGATTAACATGTAACTTCTCCCTTTAATATCTAAACATTATCTGCCAGAAAACAGGTCATGAGATTACACTCAAACTTATCAGGTAGAATTTGTTATCTCAATCTAACACCAAATTCTCCTAACTTATTCACAAGGAAATGTGTGGTGGCAAGAGAGGAGAAGTTATTATCAGATTGTGGGATTTAAAGGGTTAAAAGTTGTTCAGCATTTTCCATAATATAAGTATACTAATCAGACTACTAATAATACTAACAAAGTAACTTGTTTACTTGTGACATTGATCACCTGGTAAGTGAATGATAATCACAGTCTTACAGTATCACACATCTCAAAATACGTGCTGCTAGAGGCAAAATGAAGAGTCTTCTTGAAAGATGTTCTATTAGTAGCAGGAGAATAAACTTCATGAGCAAAAGAAAAAATAGCTCAGAAAATTGAAATTTGACTTGAAAATTCTGCACATGCACAGTAACTAGATAATTCTCTATTGTGCAATGACCAATCAACATCCTGAAAATGGCAGGGAAAAAATCTTAGGATTTGAGTAAAAATTGTTTTAATACATTACCAAAGGAATAAACAGGAATGACAGGCCACATTTACTGAACTGGTTTTTTAAATTGTCTCTGCTAAAACCATACTTTTTCAATTTTCTATCATTTCTTTCAATAACTCCATTGCATGAAATAAAACTATGAAAGGGTTTCCCTATGAATTAAGTGAACAAGCTTCTATTGGCTAGATATTTATCTTCAACTTGATACCTGACCAAAAACCCTCTCAAGCAAAGTTTTGCTATTTTACAAATCAAACAATTTTTATGTAACTACACAAGAATTTTTATAGAAATTTCTGACTACAATTTGCAATAAAATGCATTAAATTTTGGCTAAAACTTTCACTATTTGAAAATAAAATAATTTCAATGTATAAAGAATTAGGCTAAACAGCCTATAATAAAACATGAAACAATAACAAACTTGTAATGCATCGAGAGGCAAAGTCAAAACCAACCAACCTAGCCAAGAGTTAAATCAGGAAATAAAATCATTGTCATTCCAAGGTTCTGCAAATCCTTCCCAACCCTCCCTCCAAAAAGGAACCCTAATATGTAATATTAACATGTAAGTAAAATGTTTCAAATACATGTGACTGTTCGTTTACATACTAAGAAGGAAACTAAATGTTCTGTCATTAAAGTCATCACAATCAAAACTAACACTTCATATACCAAAAATCTTTCAAAAATCTTGATAAAAGCTGGGTACACTTTGGAAATTTAATGTCAAGAAAGAAATATGGAAATAAACTACCTCTTAAGAATGAATTCAGCCAAAAACGATAACTGAACAATTTAGAAAAACAAGAAACCATCAAAACCAGCAGTTCAAAGAGAGGCTTTTGGATGATGCAGGATTAAACAAGTGACTTTTTACTTTTCATGACTTGTAACAATATGAAATTAAGACCATGTGAACTGTGAATTTTTTCTTTTAGAGAAACGTGAATCTTAAAGTTGTTTAACAAATTTTTCTACTTTTTGGACCTCCCCTTTACCACCCTCTTCAAAAAATGAATACCTTACCACCTACAACACAAGCAATGCGTCCCTTGGTTGTCAACGTAATCCCTTTCACAAAATAGATCCCATCATCCATTGGAATTTCTGCACAGTGCACAAACTTACCATCTTTACTGTATATTTCAACCTGAAGGAGCTTCCCTAATCGAGTACCAGCAACGACGACTTGTTCACCTGCTCGGTGAAATGTAATGCTTGTGTAATCATAGTCAATTTGTTGCAGTTTGAACTTGTTAAGATAGTCGCCGGATTCACTGAATATATAAACACAGGGGTCACCTAGTTGCACTACCATAACACGGCCGTCATTAGCTACAGTGACATCCTGTTCTGAACTTATTATTCCTAGTTCAAAACTGCGAATGTACTCTCCATCAGTGTCATACTGCTCGACTACTGTCTTGTTCCATATGGTCACCACTTTCCCTCTATCACTGACTGACAGTCCTCTGTACAGTTTGTGCTCACCCTCTCCCCTCAGACGAAACCTGTGATGCAGGTCAGCGGTTTTAGTAAGTTTATAAACCCAATAAGATAACTCATTCCCAGGCTTCTCCAGTTCAATCAGCACGAAGATGTTGTCGCTCATGTCTGTGGCGACTTCAAAAGCAAATGTTGTATTTACTTCATCGGTAGAGAGACTCGATTGTTTCACAAAATTGCCGCTGTTGTCAAACACCTTCACGTGATGCATGTCTGTTATAATAAATTCTCCGCTGGAGTTTGTAGCGATAGCCATCGGGTGCTTCAGCTTGTGTTCCTCTTTACCCCCCCGACCAAATGACCTTGGTGGAACACAACAATACTCTTTACCATGTCTGAGTAGGAAGTCTTTTATTCTCGCGTCACACAATGGAATAACTCTATTTTCTCCAATATTAACACTTGGGCTGAAGTCAAGTCTCCCCAATGCGAGGGCGATATCAAAGATCGCGCGATTCACATGACAAACATTGAAAATTATTTCACTTCTTTTCTCTTTACCAAATAAACCCCTCACTTTCTGAATGCCTGTCTTGAGCTGAACGTCAAAGCTTTTCTGTACTGCTGACAGACTGTTAAGTTCCTTTACACACACTCCACATGGTGCAACTGCATCAGCGGGATTGTCCACTGTTTCCAATATCGTTGCTATTACTCGATACTTCATGGCCAGAATGCGGTCATATGTTTTGAGGCCTTCGTTTTTAAAGGCCCTCGTTGCTACCCTTCGAGCATCTTTGAATCTTTCCTTTGCAGTGGAAAGCTTTCTTGTAGCATACTCGTCCAAGCCAGTAAGCTCTAACTTTCTGATTCCTTCAACGAGAGAAAATGCTTCATCGGAAGCTGCTTGTGCTGTTGCCGCACCACGCTCGTTTCTAGACTTGACTATGTCAAACACTTCATACAACAACGCGATTCCTTCCTCAAAGAAACTGATACTCGCTTCTAAATCTCTTCTCGATAACGCATCCAACTTTGACTTGATGTCGTCTATTTCACGGACGATCAAGGAGCGGAATCTTTGATCTGTTACATCGCCGTCTTTCAGAATCTCCGTGGCCTTATCTCTGCCTTTGTTGACTAGCAAACCGATAGTGGCTTCGAACAAGGTTGTTACTATCGAGGACATAACGGATAAGCAAAGTAAAGGATAGCCTTGGAAAATATTTTTACGGTAATAGAGATGGTTTTTCAGACTGTAGCGCCCTGATCAAATTTCTTTTTGGTAGAGTGTTAAGATAACATATCACATATCAGGTATGAGGTTCTTTTACGGACAAAATATCGAACATGGATACATTAATGTTTTGTTCAATTACGTTATTGTTGTGCGTTAGAATACAAGTCTTAAAATAAAATAAATCAATTTCACCTGGAATACATCGATTTTGGATGTCATACATCGATGTTGTGCAGCATATATCGCATTCCTGACTCATTCACGCGTGACCTTATAATATATATATTTAGGCAAGCCTAAAAGCGGAGCTCGCATTTTTTTTCCCGCACGTCTCTTCAACAAAACTAAAGCCCCTACTATGGATAAAGTGCGTGGTAATATTAGTGGATTTTCATTCGCAACTTCTCCGTGTCCGTGTAGAGGACTGATTATAAGATAGTGCCCGTGGTACTGTTGGCCGCGCATGCTAAAAGTAGCACCTTGTACGATCAGTCGTACGGTCGTACATCCAAATGTTTTCGGCTTGATGGGTTACTACTATTTTGTATAATTATGGGGCTACGCTCTGCGAGCTCCGCTACAATAAACAATTGCAACTTTGACGATCATGTGTTAAAGTACGCATGAGTGACCATGAATGACCACGAATGATCATGAGTGAAAAAGCGGGAAAAAGTTAATCATTAACCAAAATAAAAACAATAATAAGAAAAATGTTGCAGTGAATTTAATGGGATATATTAAACGTTAAAGAACTGTAGCCCTCATTCAATAAAAACCCCGAATTAAAGGAAAAAAGGTAAATGCTTCGATGTTTCCGTTTTTCGAATCATTTCTTGACTCTGCATGACACGTGATTTTATTGTAAGTTTTAAAGAAAGCTTATGTCAAGATCTAAATTTAGTTAAGTTCGAATGTGATTTTTTCCTTGTATTCTGTAATAAGTTAAGTCTAGTTGTCAACGCTTCATTCATACTTTGACCTTTAGGCCGTCGACTGAAGTAACGCAATCGTATCGTTTTGCGAAAAAAATAACTCTTAAAAATGTTTTAAGGATCTATTGATTAAATTAATATATTGATTATATTAAATATATATTTTTTATTAGTCATTCAGAAAGCTTGAAATACTTTTTTTTTGGTTGTCTAAATCAGCCCTACAGTTCTTTTTCCTACAATTCTTTTTCCTTCAATATTTCCCATAAAATTCACTGTAATATTTTTCTTATCTAATCAATTATTTTTATTTTAGTTAATGATTAATTTTTTCGCTTTTTTACTAGTGGTTACTAGTGGTCACTCGTGTTTACTTTTAGACATGATCCATTTAATGTTTCCCTTCCCTTTTTCGAGCAATTTGGTGAATATCAATCGATGATTTAACAAATATTAAAACAAAAAGCAAATCCGGTTTCTGATAAAAATTTGCAAAAAATTTGAAAAAGACATTGTTGTGACAGGTAACCATACTGTAACACAACACCAGTACAGGGAGAGATTAGTATTCACAGCCTCTCTGCAGATATGCTGTAAGTTGTTCCCCATAAGTTGTACTCTTAAAATATTACTAATGCCACATTACTGCATTGAGATCATTCTTCAAAGCTTTTTTATATAATAAATTGTTATTACTATTCACAACAGCTTTCCTTAACAACTTAATATGTCTTTTAATTTTGTTTTCACCTTTCTCATCAATCTTTGTCTTCTGTTTCCGTTTTTTCAGCTCTTCTTGATTTTGTGGACTTTCACTGGTTGAACTTATGGAGTGGAATTCAGAAGATGAGGCACCTAATATAAGATTTAAAAGAAAACAAATAATGAGGTAACCACTAAATACTGACATTCAGAACCATACAACACACCTCAAATCATTTTTATAAAAACCCCACACACAAATACAGGTAACATTTTCTTTTATAGCTCCTTCAACTAAAATCTTGTCAATTTTTATTTTAGCTTGTTTTATTTTATTTATATTTAGAGCCAAAGATAAATACAACCAGACAGAAAAGAAATGACAATGCCAAATTTGGATTAATCTACAGTTGACTCTAGCCCTGTGGTCACCTCACTATTACAGACACCTTGCCATTGCAGACAAGAGCCAGCCCCTGGAGAAACACATACAGAAATGACTCAAATAAATTCCCTCTATAACAGACTCTTGCTATTGTAATAATGCAGACTCTTTCCTGCCCCCCAGCATGACTTTTCACTTGTTTTTTCTCTTGCTATAACTGACATTTATTTACTCTGTCCAAAATCATGACCAGCATATATGCTATGAACCGACATTATGAAAAAGGGAAATAAAGAAACCATTCTTCAATTGGGTGTGAACATATGAAATTTTCTGCTTACAGCCAGATCTTTTTCTGGTTTGTGGAAACTTTATTTCATATGTTAAGAAACAAACAAATGTTTATTTCTATTGTACCCCATTATTACAAACTTTTTGCTATTACAGACACTAAATCCCCCCCCCCCCCCGAGGGTGTCCACAGTAATGGGAGTCAACTTTAAGGGGAAAAGTAAAAAGAGGAATTCATGGTGTTACTTTTAATAGTAATATGATAACAGGTCAAACCAACATGAAATTAACAGATTGTAAACAATGTACAAAATCTACCTGAACTATATAACTGTCAACTTTTTAAGTCATAATTTGAGACCAACATAAAAAAGACGTAGTTTGTCATTACATACTGTTTCACCAACCCCAGCCTCTGTCATCTTAATATTCCCTAATAGCAAAACACAGAGTGAGGGAAAACTAAACTGGGTATAATCTCATTTCAAAAAAAAATATTTTGAATGAGAAGTACATGTATTTAAAAGCATTTTTAGTTTAGCTTTACCATTAAAGTTAATTTAACAGCATCTTTTTATTCACCTTTTATTCTTTGGAGTTTCATACGTGGCTCTACAAGTTCTTCTTCAGGACCAAAGATGGAAGATCCAGGAACAGGCAACATGCCTAAAAGCAAAGGTATACAGTGAGAGATAAGCATTTCTACGGATAAATAGTTAGAAACAGGCGTACAACTTGTATTTAAAGATACCAGTAGGTACATGTACACTGTAGATTGCCTTTATTTAAACAAAGATGCTTTAAACCCGAAAAAGAAGCTGTTAATATGTAAGTAATGTTTCATTATTACCTGGAAACTCAACACTACCTTTAACTAGAGAAGAGAATGAGGCAAAAACACATTTGAAATAGTTTGCATTGACAAGTATCATTTTTCATAATTGCTGACAGAAGCATTCTTGCTCATTAATAACATTAATTTCTATTTTAAAAGATGACTAAAACCACATTCAGGTTCTTGTTTCATTTCTCCTCTCTTTTCCTGAAGTTTCATAGCTTCACTTCTATGACTTTTTTGGCCAATTTATGCACCTATGAATTCTTCCACTTCTTCAATATCAATGCATCAATACAACAAGTCAGTGAATTGCTATGTTGTTTTCTTTTTTTTTTTTTGGACCATATCTGGAGAACTGAACCCAAACTGGAACTCATCCTAAACATGTCAACAAAAACAACTGAAAGTAGAAGCCCCACATCTTTTTATTCATTTCAAGGTGGTTTGATGACAGTTTTAAGGGTAGATCAACTAAATCCACATAAAAGTGGGTTTTTTTCCCAATAACAAAGGGAAAAACTCAACCAACATGAAGAACCTTAAATAGTCAATAACTCTCAATAAAATACAACTTTCCACTTGGATTTAATTAGCTGAACACAATGAGCAACATGTTTTAATTACATTAACTTTAGAAATGGGTTCAAACAGAGCATCCCATTCACCTTTCCTTCCCCAAGGTTCTTCTAATTCTTTTCCATAACCAGTGGTGGGTACTACAGTGAGGGGTGAAGTACCTAAGGGTGAAAAAGCAGACAGAGATTAGCATTCACAGCCTCCCTTCAAATGTTTTGTTCTCATTTAAGTAGAACTGTATACAATTATATTAATTAATTGATGCCACATTATTGCACTGAGCCAATTCCTCGAACAGGTGTCACATAATTGTTATTACTGTTCACAACAGCTTTCCGTAATAACTTAATTAAATTAAATGCAATTTTTTTTTTTATTTACTTTCACCTTCCAATTTTGCTGTCCCCATAATCTTTGTCTTCAGTTCAATTTTTTCCCATTGTTCTTTTTTTTGTGGACTGGTTGAACTTGTGGAGTGGAATTCAGAGGATAAAGCACCTAAAATCAGATTTACAAGAGGACAAACATTCTAAACCATAAAGGCACCTCAAACTATCTTTAAAAACATCCAACAAACAAAAAGGAGTAAAATTTTCTTTCTTAGCCCCTCCAACTCCTCCTCTACTAACTATGCTCCAACAAAAGTCTTGCCAATTAACCCTTGATTAATGGATGTAATCTAATAAATTAAGGCCACATTTGGTACTTCTGATTTTGGGATCTGCGACCATTTCTGTTTCCATTTTTCTTTATTTGAAATCGAATGGAACCCTAGCATGAAAAACACATCGCTGTTTTTCTTGATTTTTCTCAAGTATGCCTCCATTTCGTTGGCTGCTTGTGGAATAAGACTTGCCTGAAAATCGAACATTGATCTAACATGCTGAAAATCTCGAAACTTCTAACTCCTACCCTCAAACCACTATCTACAGTTTGAGGTTCGCGTTTGACACACCAAACGTGGATCTAAAACTCTCTAATATGGTAAAGCTAAACCGCTAACTACGATTTGAGGTTCGGGGTTAACACACCGTAGTCGATCTAAAACGCTGAAAATCTCGAAACTTCAAACTCCTTCCCTTAAACCGCTAACTACAGTTTGAGGTTTGCAGTTAACACACCAAACGTGGATCTAAAACTCTCTAATATGGTAAAGTTAATAACCTCTGGCATCGTAATTCTGAGATGACTTACACAAAGGCTCCTGAACATTCAACAAACAAAATTCAAGTTACAAACTGCATGTGTACACTGTGT